TCGAGAGCCGCAGTTTGCCGACCATTGCCTTAGGGGATGTTAGATGCCTGTTTCAGCTCAATCCCCACAGGCCACACCAAGGGACCCTCCGGTGCACGAGTCTGTGGGCCAGGCCTCTAATATTATTAATAATTGTAAACGTTTTAAAGTGCCTACTTGCCAGGCACTGTTTGAAGCACATTACATGAGCACTTACTATTACTATTACTTTCAACATAAGAAAAATTAACTGTACAGCAGGTCCTAGGGTTATTCAGAGATCCGTTCCTATGGTGCGATGTAACATGATTTTTGCCATAAGTCAGAACCCACCTACATAAGCACCTATGTCACTCACATGGAGCACAAATACAGCAGTAAAGAAGCGAAACAGTAAAAAAAAAAATTAAAAGAAAGATAATTCCTGACCTTCATTTGTGGTAAATAAATGATAAAAAACATAAAGCACATATGTACATATATCGAAGTGATGGAATTTAATAAATATTGTAAATGGGAGATGCGATGTAACCATGAAACGACGTATGTTGAGTCCGCCCTAACCCAAGGACTTACCTGAATATGAAAAATTTTAGGGTATTTTACATTGGAAACCAGGTGCTGAGCTTTGTTTTGAGAATTTTTGACCCAGAAATAAAATAAATATATAAATAAAATGACGTTTTGGTTTTCCTTTTGTAATAGGTGTCAGTAGTATCAATATAAAAAAGCACATACCAGATGGTAAGTTTAAGGGCAGAGACTATTTCTGACACCCTGTTTCGTGTAACATTATCATTGGGCCTATTTGTTGTATAATTAATTATTGTCATTAATAGGCTATTAGAGAGGCGAGACTACAAATTCGCTTGCTACAATGTGTGACTGCTAGGTTGCCTGCTACCAGAAATAACTCTTTCAATAACTCTTTAAAACAATGGTGGAATAAAAAAAATTATAGAATTACCTAAACAGAGTAATAGAGGGAATAGAATGTAAAGGATAGGGATAGAAGCTAGACTTTTTTGAAGAGAGAATTTTGGAGTCATGTAAATATTTTACATAATTTAAAAAGTTAAATTTTAATGAGCAGTTCTCTTCAAATCAAGTAAAAAAGCAAATCTATGTTTGTAGATGTTGGTATTACCATGCAGAGAGAAATCATCCCAAGTACAATAACTTTAAAACACAGTAATAAAATAGTTTTCATTAATTATTTTGTTGATGCTAATATTGGTATTATTTGTTTAAATTGGTAATAAAGTAAATGAGTAATTATATTGGCAGTTTGAGAACTGGAAAGAGATGAGGCAGAGAAGGGTAATTAAAAACCCTAGAGTCCTGAATTTAAGTTTGACTAATGAATAAGAACTTAAGAAGTATCCTTTTAAAAAAAAAATAGTTATCTCCTAGCCTTGTCTACTGAAAGTTCTAGAAATAATGACCAAGCCAGTAGAGTGAACACCCCTAGTGCTCAGTCTCCACATACTATATGTAAATACTAGTGGTATTTAGAGACCTACTGATTAAAGTCTGAGCCTGGAGCATCAGGCCATACCAGAAGTAAAGAAACTACTAAAGAATATTTGAATTTTGTCTAAAGCAGGGTGGGGCCCGTCCAGCCCATGGGCTATGTAAGACCCATGAAATCATTTGGTCCAGCCCTGCCAAGGCATTAAGGATGAGTTAATTAAATGTTTGATCAAATATAGCAAGATAATTTTTAAAATGATAACTTTGTATGGCCCGTGAATGATGTTCTAAATATCCAAATAGCCCTTGGCAGAAAAAATGTTCCCCACCCTGGTTTAAAGCATTCCAGACCCAACTTGAATAGACTCCCACTGGACAAAGGATAATTTAACCACAAAGAAGGAGAAATACTATAATGGATGAAAAACTTGAAACATTTTAAAATTTTTGATTTACAGGAATATGTAAAAACAAACAAAAACCTTTAGACAATACTAGGGAACCAAATCATTGTTTTTAGGGAAATGATCAGGTGTTTTATTTTGCCTTTCATATTAGCAATCTTCAGAGTAGCCAAATACTCAATGAGGGGAAATTTTTCATTTTGGATATATTCCTGCTGATAAATGAAGACAGAATGCTAGCAATGTCCTCTTGAAAGTACACAACCAACCTTTGAAATGTTCTTTATAAACAAAATATAAAACCCTGAATCTGATCAAGCCTCTAGTTCTAACTACTAATTTACAGGAAAGAGAAGAGACAAAGGAACATGCTAAATTACACCATGGGGATTCATTCAGCAGAAAAACAGACTGTGGGAAACTGCAGAATAAATGACTCACTTTTTTCTCCAACAAATTGCAAAGGGGGGAAAAACGATGGAGGACAAATCTATAGATTTAAAAAGATTAAAGAAACATACTAACCAATTGCAATGTAAGAATCTTACTTCAAATTTGTTTTAAACAAACTGGAGGATAAAAAGAACATTCATGGGTTGAGAGAACGCTACCTTGATTTGAGTGTTTCTTAAAAAAAAAATTTTTTTTTAATTGATTTCAGAAAGAAAGGGAGGTAGAGAGAGAAACATCAGTGGTGAGAGAGAATCATTGATCAGTTGCCTCCTGCACACCCCCTACTGGGGACTGAGACCCCAACTCCATGCATATGCCCTGACCGAGAATCAAACCGTGATCTGATTCATAGGTCAATGCTCAACCACTGAGCCATGCCGGCTGGGCACCGCCTTGATTTTTAACAATATTAAAGATTTGTTGAGTGTGAAAGAGGTAGTCTTATTGTATCTGCTTTTTAAGATGAGTTTTTGTCTTTTAAAGGTAGATGTTGAAATATTTAGAGTTGAAATGATACATTGTCTGGGATTTGCTTCAAAAGAATACAGGATTGTGTAGGGAGATGTATGGGGTGCTATAGAAGGAACAAACTCAGCTAGCCATGAGTTGAGAATTTTTGAAGCTTGTTGATAGGAATATGAGGATTCATTGTTTTATTTTCCCAACTTTTCTATAAGTTTTAAATTTTTTACTATGGGAAAATTAAGAAGAATAAATATCTGACCACAGCTGCTCCATAATAATGACTCAAAACAAAACAAAAACCTAGGATAACATAACTAACTTCTTATTTCCTTATGATCAAATTTACCACCTTTCTTTTTTAAAATGTCTATTTTGTATTGGTTTTAGATTTAGAGTAAAAATGTTAAGATAGTACAGAGAGTTCTTATTTACTTTTTCCTCATTTTCTCTCTATTAATGTCTTATATCAACATGCTATATTGGTAAAACCTAAGAAACCAACATTGGTACATTACTATTAACTAAGCACCAGATAGAATTCACCAGTTTTTCCATTACATTCTTTCTGTTCAGGACAGGTACTACATTAGCATTTAATTGTCATGTCTCTAGTTTTCTTTGGTTTGTGACAGTTACTTAGACTTTTCTTGTTTTTCATAATCTTGATAGTCTTGAGTACTGGCCAGTACCCTGTAAAATGTCCCCCAATCTGGGTTTGTCTGATTCCTTTTTTTTTTTTTTTTTTTTTTTTTAATATTAGACTAGGGTTGTAAATTTTGGGAAGAGTACCACAGAAGTAAATAGCTCTTGTCATCACTTTACATCAGGGGATGCTATCACCATGACATCACTGATGATATCAACCGTCATTGTTTCCACTGTCAAGTTATTATTTTTCGTTTTCTCTCCTCTGTTCTTTAGAAGCAAGTCACTAAGTCTAGCCCAACCTTAACTGGGAGGTATTAAGACCCTGCCCATAATGCAGTGAGTCACTAGAACTCAAGGACATAGCATATGGTTGTTCTGGTGGCTCAGTGTTATTATGGCAAAGCAATACAGAGCAAAGTGAACAAGTGCACAGGGAGGAGTCTGGGTGAAACTAGGCAGAAGCTTCCAAGAGTCCTCTTCTAGTGGTCACAGGGTATGTTCTTCATTCCTTAGCGGTGACAGCATGCGTGGAATGTTATCCATCAGGAAAACTTGCTTTAGGCCAGGAGTCCAGGGTTTTTATTGGGGACTGGTCAGGTAGGCAATCTCTGCCTAGCATGTATCCACATTCCAGATTCCTGGAACGAAAGTGGTGTCTTACCATTTGTAGAAAGTTTTATACCAGTGAAAGGAACTATTTACTGGTCAATTTCCCAGCCCACAGCCAATCAGGCCTTTATTTCAGTTCTTCAGGCCTTTATTTCAGCCCACAGCAATCAGGCCTTTCTAAGGGATAGTAATCTTAGGCCTTCAGTGTTAGCTCTTTTCTGCACAGGGAAGTATCCTCATGTTACCTTTATTTAATACTTTTTACTTGAGAAAAATGGAAACAGGTTAAAAAAAATACACACACACACACACACACACACACACACACACACACACACATATATATATATATATATATATATATAGTGAAAATAAGATGGTAAGAATGAAAATTTTTTTTAAAAAAAATCAAGGACATCTAATATCTTCTTTTGCTGTACAGGATGAAATATATCATAATTTAGGCCTCTTTTTTTGTTCTTTAAGAATTTCTCATGCCCGTTTAAAAAAAATACATGCCTTCATTGATTTCAGAGATGGAGAAGAAGATAGAAACTTCAATGATGAGAGAAAATCATTGATTGGCTGCCTCCTGAACACCCCAAACTGGCATCAAGCCCAAAACTCAGGCATGTGCCCGATCTAGAATCAAACCGTGACCTCCTGGTTTATAGGTTGATGCTCAACCACTGAGCTATACCAGCTAGGCTCTCATGTCCATTTTAAAGTATTGTTATAAAAATTATTACTCATATTGTAACTTTTGAACTTTTGAAGCATTTCATAATAATTTTTTAAAAAGTCTCCAGATTGTGTGTCATCTCATTTATTGCCAATAATTAGAAGAAGGCCTTGTAAATTTTAGTAATAAAAAATAACATAACAACCAAAACCTGGGTGGGAATCCCAGAGAGTAATTACTAAGATTTAAGGCACAATATGTACTAGTCTCTTACTTTCTTTTAATAGGAAAAGCGTGGTCTTCGAGAAATGCGAGTTCTTGAGAATTTGAAGAACATGATCCATGAAACAAATGAACATGCTCTTCCCAAATGTCGAGAAACAATGCATGACAACTTAAACCAAGTTCTCCAGAGATGTAAGCCAGCTATTTTTTTATATTGCTTTATTTCACATGAGTTCTATGCCAAAATGTATCTTGAGTATTTGGTGGGAGTAAGAGAGGATAGAGATGAATGCCCTGTCTCAGAGGAAGTGCTTATCTAGTGATTAATGTGTATCCTAAGTGAGATGTGTTCATCTGCAGTGCACAAGATTATTTATCCTTTTATGATCTGAGAAAATTGAAACCTTTTTTACCTTAAAAAATTTATCCATTAGAAAAAGTTTGATAACCAAGATTTAAGAACTGAAATAAAATGTTTTCAGATAGATAGGATATTAGAGTGTTTTTTTAACTTAAAAAAAAAAATCCTGTTATTATAATAGTATTTTATTACTTATTTTCATTAAGTAAAATATTTTACTTTGAAGACATAGTTAATCAAAAAGAATATTAAACATATCAAATCATAGTTTAAAAGGAGTTTTATTAATTGATTTTAAAATTAGAAGTATAATATATCAGAAATACAAGGCTACTCCTTGCATCTGTATTGACACTATTCAGCTTGTCCAAGGATAATGCTGCTAAATAATGATGGATTATTGAAGTGCAAAATCAAAAATGTCTTCTGGGCAGGGAGGAGAGAGAGAAAACTGGTCAATGAAGGAAAGCAGCTGAGAGTCCTTGGATAGTAATTGAGTTAAGGCTTTATGTGCAAGTCCAGGTTAGTCTTGTGTACTCTGATGTTAAAAGGAGATTGGAGAGGAAAAATCCCCTAAGCTCACGTTTAGTTTCTTTGAGTGGAGCAACAAGAAGTCTAAAATTAACCTCAGGCTTTTGCATTTTACTACAAACTTGCCCTTGTTTGTTCACACTGTCACTTCCTTAACCTTGACAAACATTCTAGACATTGTGCTAAAAATAAAACTAAAATTATATATAATAAAAGAGAAATATGTAAATTGACCATCACTTTGAGATGCCCACCAGCCAATCAGGAGTGAGTATGCAAATTAGTGGGACAAAGTGGCAGTAGCCATGGGGTCAGCCAGAGGGGGCAGGAGGCTTGGGTCGCCCCAGCAATGGAGGAAGTCACGCTTCCCATCTACCTGGGCTGGTCGATGAAGAAGGAGCCTGTGGGTGGCAGTCATGGAGCCAGCCTGGGCACATGGAAGGTATGGTTCGCCAGGGGTGACCCAAGCTTCACGCAAACGCTGGTTAGCCGCTGAAGGAGGGGCCTAAGGGCAGTGGCCACGGAGCAGTCCTGAGTGCGGAAGGCTTGGGTTGCCCGGCTGGCCGCCGAGGGAGGTGCCTGCAAACGGCCCTCAGCCCCTCACCAAGGCTGGCCACACACCCCCAGAGGGGACCTTCACCCAATGGGGGTGTGGCCGGCCTGCGTACTTCCCCAACCCCTCTAGCGGGCCAGCACCGTCCTCAGTGGGGAACCCCTCCTGAATGGGGGTGTGGCTGGCCTGCTAACCACCACAGGCCCCTCACCCATGCAGTCCCACTCCCCAAGGGAGCCCTCCACCCTGATCTGGGACACCCTTGAGGGCAAACCAGTGCACCAGGCTTCTATCTGTGCTAATAAAAGGGTAATATGCTAATTAGATTGGGAAACCTTCCAGGAGACCTTTTGGACATTCTTCTGGACAAAGCCATGGTGGTGGGCCAAGGTAGAGGTGGTTAGGGGCCAAGAGGGGAGGGCAGTTGTGGTTGATAAGGTCGGGGGGGAGGGGCGCACATTGGGGGTTAGGAGGCTGGCAGAGGGGGTAGTTGGGGGTGAGCAGGCCAATGGGGAGGGCAAGTGGGGGCGAGCAGGCCAGCAGGTGTGCAGTTGGGGACAAGCAGCCTGGCAGAGGGGGCAGTTGGGGGTAATCAGGCTGGCGGGGAGTGGCAGTTGGGGGTGAGCAGGCCGGCAGGCAGCGTGGTTAGGGGCAGTTAGGCAGGCAGGCAAGTGAGTGGTTAGGAGCCAGCAGTCCTGGATTACAAGAGGGATCCCAGATTGGAGAGAATGCAGGCTGTGCTGAGGGACACTTCTGCCCCCGCCCCTTGTGCACGAATTTTGTGCACCGGGCCACTAGTTATTAATAAGAATGCTTATGTATGCATTTGAACTCTGCCTGTAACTTGCCTTTTCCACATTTTGAGTATATAAAAATAAATTGGATAAAACTTGGTAAAAATCTATAAACAATTATTTTGACTTGCTTCATTCTTGGGTTAAAGTTATTTCTGATGTAAGGACTGACCTCTTTTTTTTTTTTTTTTTTTTTTTTTATATATATTTTATTGATTTTTATACAGAGAGAAAGGGAGAGAGAGAGATAGAGAGTTAGAAACATCGATGAGAGAGAGTCATCGATCAGCTGCCTCTTGCACACCCCCTACTGGGGATATGCCCGCAACCAAGGTACATGCCCTTGACCGGAATCGAACCCGGGACCCTTCAAGGACTGACCTCTTAAAAGTAGAGTCTTCAGCTCAGTTGCTGTGGCTCAGTGGTTAAGCATTGACTTATGAACCAGGAGGTCACGGTTCAATTCCCCGTCAGGGAACTTGCCTGGGGTGCAAGCTGGATCCCCAGTAGGGGGCCTGCTGGAAGCAACCGATCATTGATTCTCATCATTGATCTTTCTGTCTCTCTCTCCCTCTCCCTTCCTCTCTCAAATATATATATATATATATATATATATATACATATATATATATACACACACACACACACATACATACATATACATACATATACACACACACACACACACACACACGCACACGTACATACATATATACTAGGTGCCCAGCGTGCGAAATTGCGCAGCCCCACCCACCCACCTGCCACCCTGCCTTGACACCGAACCTTTCCATGCAGAGCCCTTGCTTGCCTGGCCCAGCCCCCTACCCCTGTGGCTTTCTCTGGTCCCTCAAGTCGCCTCAGGCTGGTCCTGCCTTCTCTGGGCACCTCCCTGCTTCCTCCCCATCTCTGGAGCAATGCTGCGGCTCTACGCGGTCATGGCGCGAGAGGAGAGCGTGGACGCCTCCCACCTGCTGCGCTATGCTCCTTCCCCTGGCAGGTGGGTGGCGGGCGCTCTGAGTGTGAGTGGTGGGTGGTGAAGGACTGGTGAGGGGGTGCCACAGGCTCTCACCCCTGCCCTCCCCTCCAGGGGATTGTCCCGCCTCTTTCGGGCACATCCCCGCTTCCACCACATCTCTGGAGCAATGCCTCCCTATGCATGCGCAGGCAGCCTCCTGCAATCAGTCGTGATGTTACCATGTAACAAATAATTAGAATATTCCTTTATTATTATATAGGATATTTTTAAAAAGCAGAGTCTTTACAATGCATTAAAACAGTATTAACTGAAATTTAAATGTATTCTCCTGAAAGGAAGAATTAAAACACAAAATGCAAAGTTAATAATTAAGGTTTTGACATATATAGACTGCTTTGGGTCTCATTGTTAGTTTTAGAAACTAATCAATGACTTTTGGAGCTCAGTAGGCTCCAATATAGGTATTTTCATGTAGTAATTATCCTGAATAGCACAGGTATAATGGAGATAATTACTTGCTTTTTAAGCTGATGTAGTTTAAAAATTCACCTGGGCCTGTTGTGTTTAAAGATTTGACATTTTAAGCCATAGTGCTGGCTTGTTTATTTTCACTACTAACTGATCAGGTGGATCTATATATGGAATATATTCTGATCTAAGTTATATAATACTTTACAAGACTAGTGATGAGTTGAGTTTTGTTGTGTGCCAGTTAGAACTGCCACGTTGGTCTCTTCTGTGCGTGTTTGAGATCTGTGCTGGCAGTGCGATCAGCTGCATCTCAGAACTCTACTGTGGATCGTGATCTAACCTGGTGCACAGAACTAAATAACTGCAAAAGTAAAGTGGAGACATCTCCAATTATTTGAATGAGACCTATTACAGAATCTGTAGCTCAGAATTGTTTCTGCTTTTTGGCTATGTAGCACCACCTATCTTGCAAAGTGTCTTTGTGTGAGAACTTCTGATAAGAATGCAATCGTATAATCCTATATAATAAATGGGAAATATGAAAATAGACCAAATAGCAGAACACTCGAACAACCAATCAAAGCATAATATGCTAATGATATGCTAAGGCTGCTCAACTGCTCACTATGACATGCACTGACCACCAGGGGGCAGATGCTCTGACTGGTAGGTTATCTTGCTGCTGCCGTCTGGCCAATCCGGACTGAGCGAGATGGGCCGGGCACACCCTGGAGCCCTCCACTAGTCCCTTCCCAGCCCAATCGTGTACTGGTGGGGTCCCTCAGCCTGGCCTGCACTCTCTCACAATCCAAGACCCCTTGGGGGATGTTGGAGAACTGGTTTCAGCCAATCCCACAGGCCACTCTCCTTGGGAAGGTGCCAGACACAGGGCTGGCGAGCGCTGCTGTGGCAGCATGAGCCTCTCCCCGTTGATACTGATTGGGCACAAGCCTGGGGCAGGCACAGTGGGGCCGGGATGAGTGGGAACGGGATGAGCGGGAGTGGCAGGCAGGAACTGCAGGCTGCGTTGGACTGTGGGTTTCAGCCTGATCCTGGCAGGCCACCCTGAGGGGCTCCCATCTGTGCATGAATTCATGCACCAGACCTCTAGTTTTTTAATATAAAATTTTTTGTTTATTTGAATTTAACAGAACAAAAACTTAAAGCTGAAAGAAATATCTTAAAATATGTGTTTCTTTACTATAAAAGGTAGTAGTTACTAAAAGATCATTCAAAGAAAAGTAATAAAAGACATTTTGAAGTTAGCATCATTATTTCTGCATTAGTTAATGCCTTGAGAAGTGGAGGGTTAAGACTTTTAACCTTTGCTCTTGCATCTCTTCCCCAACCTCTCACTTGTGAATTTTAGCTTTGGTAGGATTTATAGTATTTGTTTCTGTTCTGCAGTTAACTATTCAACTTTTGTTTCTGGTTTGTTTATTAGATCTGTAATGATGTTGTTATAGTTCTCAGTTTGTTTCTTTAGCCTTACAGTCACATTTTCAT